TATCCCTGGGAGTCTGAGCTACCAGGTAAAGCAAAGCTGGGGAGGAGGGAGGGAGTGACTGAAAACAGCTCCCCATCTTTAGGACCACCTCTTCCCACCTCTTGCAAACAGCTTAATCTCACCATCGGTGCCTCTCAGGTGTCACCAGTGTGAGTGGGTGAGGAGGCTGAATCTTCTCTGCCCTGCCCACCTCCCCAGGCCCCATGAACCAGGCCAGCCTCACAGACTATGTCTGCTCTTTATTGTTCCATATATTTATGTACCACATTATATGTTAAAGATAGATTTGTTGGGGTTTTTTTCTGCTATACATTTTTCATCTTATTTACCACAATGACACCACACATACATTGGAAACAGCTCCACAGATCTGGTAGATTGCACAGAATGAATTGGTTTGTTCCTGTATCCTGAACAATGTCAAATCCAACAATATAGATATATATTTTTTAACTTTTCATAATTTAGAAATGAAATTGTTAAAACAAAATGAAACAAAAGTCACCAAGAAGTGGACTTCAAGATTTCAGCCAGAGGCAAAACATTGTAATTGATGGGAAGCGCCGTTCCTTAAGGTGGATTTGGATGGAAGAATTAAGCAGTCCTGACATCCATGTAACTACGCTGTAAACAAGGCAGGTAACTGTCATTGCTGCTCAGCAGCTGCTGCTTGGGCTTGTTGGGCTGGTCAGACCACCTAGCTCTCACTACATCCATCTACACCTACATCCATCTCACAGCATGCAGAATGAAGGTCTCTGCTCCCAGCACCCATGCTGGTTTACTTCCATCTGTGAGTGCAGTAACCCAGTCCCATCAGGTCGGCACCTGTGTTTCAGCTCCTGAAACACTGAATTGCATATCTGTAAGTATTGAAAGCTGCAGCTGTTTCCCAACAGGTCCTTTGAGGGTGACCAAGCTTCAGGCAATGAGCGAGAAGATAGGTGTGGGGAACCAGATAATTCCCTTCAAAAAATCCTAAATAACAAAAAAATATATCTAAATCTTAGCTTATTTAAAAAGACAGAAGGGCAAATACTTTCATAGAATCATAGAATAGTTAAGGTTGGAAAGGACCATAAGATCATCTAGTTCCAACCCCCCTGCCATGGGCAGGGTCACCTCACCCTAGACCATGTTGCCCAAGGCTCTGTCCAGGCTGGCCTTGAACACTGCCAGGAATGGAGCATTTACCATGTGTTCTTATTTCCTTTAATTTGCAGATTCGATAACATAGAATTTGTTGGATGCACATAACGAAATTAATGACTCTTTACATTAAAGGGATGCAGAATTATTTGACTATGCAGATGTTCGATGAGATTCTCTTACAGCAACCAACTCTGGCCCCTCTTTAGTCTTCAGTGTTGGTTCTGAAGGCCTCTATGAGGCCTTCCAAAGAGTGGATGAACCCAGAGACACTGCAGATACCACCTATAACAAAGATGGCAACATCAAAGAAGACATGGTGCCACAAAAGCTTCCTCCACAAGAGTTTGAGGTGGAAAAGACTGGGGAGCAGGAAACAGAGCCCTGCGCCTGTGAGGCTCCCAGTAAGACCCATCAAGAGGGCAAAATGTGGGACATAGATAGCCATGAGCAGGGTGAATACTACCAGGGCACATCTGAGGGTGAGTCCCCAGGATTTGAGCCGCCCATCACCCCCATAGCAGTTGGGAAAAAATGCCCTATTTCCATCTTGGAAAAGGGATCGCTCCAGGACTTCTACAGCAGCAAAGAATGGCAAGGGGTATGAGAGCAAGGCTTTGGCCACCAAGAAAATATTGACTACTGCCCTTATGGTGGATGGCAAGTTGTCTGTAATGACTTCCTTGGTCTCATCAGCCCAGGTCAGATAGGCAACCAAGGCAAAGAGTCCCTTAAGGATGCAAGCTGCTATGTGAGTCCAGTTCATCATGCAGTGAAACTCCTTGGGGTTCTGCATGTTTCCCTCCAAGGAAGGCAGAAAGATCTGAGAGGTGTAGCTGAAGACAATAATGCCAATGGAGATGGGAAACTTCTTTACATCAATGTAGAACTTGACTTTGTCCCAGGCCCAGTCGCGTGCCCTGGAGAGGCAGTAGGCAATCACCAAGATGTTGATCACAAAGTGGGCCAATGTGCAGAGCAAGCTGAACTTGGAGACTGCCTTGAGGTTCTTCAAGAATGCACAAGGCAGGAGCACTGCTGTGGCAATGATGGACCATGACTTTTGGGAGACTGGCAGGTTAGGAAAGCTGTTGTACATCAGGTTGCCACTGACCACCACATAGAGAATGCAGGTCATAACCAGTTCAATGATCTGAGCCACGTTTACAATCCTGCCTCCGAGGGTGGGGAAGCGGGGTGCACAGCATGCGTTTGCTATGTCCACATAGGAGTCTCTCACCCTGACTATCTCTCCATCCTCATTCTCTTCATAAAGACAGGCAATGAGGATTTTCCCTGTGTAGCAGCAAACCACTGCAGCGAAAATGATCAGAAAGAGTCCCAGGTATCCACCATGAAGGATGGCATAGGGCAGGCCCAGCACAAACATCCCCTAAAAAGAGACAAAACGGAAACTGTGTTGCTCATCTTGAGGAGGGCATTGGGCACACACAGTGGCACAGTTGCAGTAGCACGCATCATCGCTGTCTCTCTTCACCATCACACCCACGCAGCTGGTCACACAGTCACGCCATGCACTGACGGCTGCACACCATTGCAGGCCCCCCTTCTCTCTGATGTAGCACCCGCACAGACCTACCTGCACAATCCCACCCTGGGGCACAATTTGGTACTCTGGCTTCACCCCAGTCCCAATCTCTACCCTCTCAGTGCACCAAGAGCCCAAAGCCAGGGACTCACAGAGGAGCCAGAGCTGAGCCCACCCCTGTGCAGTTCCACATCCACCTGGGGTCCCCCCGTGCTGGGGCTGTGCGTCCCCTCCCTGGCTCTGTGCTCCAGTCCAGGGTGGGGGACAAAGCAGAGGTCTGGGGTTGGGGGTTTCCCCTTCCTTTTCCTTATCTTTTTAACACCCTATTTTCCCCCCCTTTTCCCTGAGGCAGGTTTGCCATCAGCCCGGCGCAGGGGTGGGGGGGAAAGAGCAAGGAGATGGCAGAAGTGGGAACGGGAGCTCTCTGCGGTGCCCGTGGTCGTACCTGGATGGCGTTGGTGACGTTCCATCCCGCCTCCCAAGCCGTGATCTTGGGCTTGCCGTGCCCGGAAAGCTCTGGGCAGCCATCCATTTCCTTCGTGGCGGAGGGCGGTGGGGGCCCCGTGCCGTCCCGCTGGTAGTGGATGTCCCCTTCCAAGGGCGGCTCGGCGCCCTCCTCGCCGCTGGCGGACTTGAGGATGTCCATCTGCAGCCCCTGCCGATGCTCCATGTCCAGATCGTCGCAGTGGGCGAAGCCCACCGCCTCCTCGTCGGTGGCCGCCTGGAAGCCCATTCTCGCGAACATACCACTCATCTTCGCCTGGGACTTGTTGGACACAGAGGTGGCCACGTTGGAAAGCTTGCTGCGGAGGAGGGTGGCCATGGTGGCCTGTCGGACCACGCCGCTGTTCGATGAAGGACAGACCCGACGGGGCGGGCGAGCGGCGGGCCGGCAGACGGGGCCTCAGCGTCCGGCGAGGGGCGGCGGCAGCGGGGACTGCTGAGAGCCGCTACCCCCGCGTACCGGTGGGGTGCGAGCCGTGCCCCGCCGGGCTGCCCAGGGGCATGACACCGCGGCCGGCAGCTGCGGGTCCGCCCCGCGCCCCTCCGCGCTGCTCTGCGGTGCTCCGCCGGGCCCCGCGGCGGGATCGGGGGGGTCGAGCCGGGCCCCGATGGGATGGGGGGGGTGTCTGTCAGCAGCCGGCGGCTGTCACCAGACGGGCAGCGCAAGCCCCTGGCAGAGCGCGCAGCATCTCCATCGCAGTGCGCCCACCTCGCGGAGAGGAGAGGGAGAGGGGGGAGAATTGCTGCATTTCTGGGGGAGGTACCAGCGCCCCGGCCAAGCCCGGCCCCCCCGCACCCTCCTCCCCCGCCGGGCCAGCAGCGCCGCAGCGCAGACCCCCCTCTCCTGCGCCTCAGCCCCTGCGCTGCCCGCCCTGCCCCACGCTTAGCCCTACACCCCACGGCAGCGTCGCGAGCCCCTTCCCCACGGCGAAACCAAAGGTCCCCACTAACGAGGCGGACACACGGCTCGGCGCCGGGTCCTAACGAAATTTCCCTCCCTGACACCCCCTGCCCTTTCTTTTTTCTCCCCGCCAAACCCCGCGGCCCCTTCGGAGCTTGGGCACAGCCCTGGGCACTGTGTCCTGCCGCGGCTGCGGAGCCTGGGGAGATTCGCGGGCAGTGAGCAGGGCTCAGCTCCCGAGAACGATTCGTCTGATCCGAGGGCTCCGACACCGGGTTCCCACTCCCGTTCGGTGCTCGCAGCCGGGCTGCTCTGCCCGCGGACCCGCACCGCCGGGGCTGAGCTGCTGCCTTCAAACGGCGCTCCCACCGCATGTAGAGAGTCTCCTTCCTTTAAAATAAATACCGCTATTTTCGTTTCGCTCACAAACGCCCATAGGTTTTTGTAAGGAAAAAGCCTGAGCGTATTTTTTCTTTATTTAAAATATTTCCGAGGTGAGCAGACAACAGAGCGAACAATGGCAACGAGAAATCCCCGTCCTGTGCTGTGGCAACGATCAGCACATCGTAGCCGGTGGAGCACTGGCATTTTTGGGTACTGTGTGTGACAGCCCGCCCCCCTCTGCTGCGGGGAGACCGTGTGATTCGTTCTTTAGAATAAAAACCAAATAGATGTTCATTGGGGTGAGGGGAATCTGTGTTTCTTTTGCTGCTTTGCGAGGCAAAAAAAAAAAAAAAATTAAGCTACAGATGGGCGGAAAAAACAGAGCTGAATTATTGTGAATGCCGTTGTTCGGGGGACTGGGGAGGGAGTGCTGGGGCTGGAGCTGGGGCTGGGACAGAGCTGGGGCTGCACCTGGGGCAGGGGCTGGGGATGTGGATGTGGATGCGGGGGCGTCTACGGAATCGCACGGAGGTGGGGAGCGAACCCCCGATATTGGGAAAAAATCCTTCAACATCCCCTTTAATTTCTTGCCAGAATCCAAAAGGAAATCGGGTGCAAAGCGACTGAAAAGCATTAAAAAAAAAAAAAACAAACCAAACGAAAAAAAGTAAGTTTATATAATATACATAGTATATAGAATGTATATTAATATATGATGCTATCTATTATACATAATATACATATATATTAGAATATGTATTACTTTATTAGATTTTTATCTATATAAATGATACCCACTATGACGGCTTCTTTATCCCGAGGGGCTGCCGGCTCCCGGCATGGCAGGGGCGGACTCTCCCCACAAAACGGGGCTGTTATATAGGAACGGCTCCGGTGCAGCGGGGGAAAGGCCGCAGAGGGAGGCGCACCCCTTTCTTCTTGGAGGGATTATCTCATGTCAGTGCACAAATAGGTCGGGAACGCCGAGCGGGACCCGCTTTCGGCCTGAGGCTCGCAGCATCCTGCCCGCGACGGGGCCCCAACGCACAGCGGTTAACGGGGACATTAAATTCAACCGGGAAGGACGCGGGGCTCGGGACGCCGCCGCCGTTTCGCTTCCTTACAGCTCTGGAAAACAACTGCTCCGATGGACACCTCGGGGGGAATTCAACTGTTCCTCTCATTTTATTATTTTTTTTTTATTTTATTTTTTCCCAGTTTAGTCCAAGCCAAGTTCATTGTTATCGAAGACATGGAAGAGACCTATTGCTGGAGGCTGCAGGGAGCATCAGGAAAGAAAGGACGAAAATTCCCCCGGTGCCTGGGTATTTCCGAAACTCCCCGGCCCTTCCGCAGCCCCCGGTGCCGAGGAGAGGACGGGGAAACCACCGCCGGCACCGTGCCGAGAGCGAAGGAGACGGGCTTTGGGCTGGTGGTTGAGCATCCGGCGTGTTCGAGATGCGCCAGGAGACAGTTCTGGCGGAAATAATAACTAACCAATCAACCAAAGAAATAAATAAAAAACAACAAAACCAAAACAACCCCACTGTGTAAAAATAATAAACCAATCAAAATTAAAATAAAATGATACAATTAAAATAATATTAATTAGAAAATAACACAAAAATAGTAAAACGAACCAAAGCCCAAACCCCGCCACACACAAAAACCCCCAAACACAACCCCCCCCGAACCAAAACCATAAAACAAAACCGAACAAAAAAGGAAAAAAAAAGAAAACCCGGTCCCCGCAGGGAGCGCGACCATAAGCCCAGCCCAGGGATCCCGGCACCTCAGCACCCCGCAAGGCACCGGCTGGCACCGAAGCGAACGGGAAACTGGTGGGTTCGGAGGGGATGCCCAGTGATGCCGGAGGGATGCCAAGGTCCGAGGGGTTCAGAAGCTCGGGGGTGCGTCTGTGCCCACGCGGTGACCCCATGCACGGTTCTAAAAGTGGGAGGCCGAGCCCGCTCCCGGCCCCGGCAGCCGGTGCCTCGCTGCTCTGTTGGAAACAGCCCACCGGGCATCGCCTGCCCCGGGACGGGCTCCAAGAACGAGACTTCGTGCGGCAGCGGCTGGAAGGAAAAGGAATCCCCGAATTTGTACCGGCGGCTGAACGCGGGAGGAAAGGCACAGCAAGGCGGGAGGGTAAAGGAGAGGGGCAGAGGAAGAGGGCAAAGCGTAGAGACGGAGAGAGGGGTCGGGGCATTTACCTCTGCTGCCCTCCCCATCGCCGTGCCGGACGGACCGAGGGACGGACGGGGGCAGCCGCGTCTCTCCTGGGCTTCCCGAGCTCGTTAACCCGAGCAGGATAACGGTGCCAAACCCTCCTCCAAAGGTTAGCGGCTCTCAGGGGGGCGTTTGAGCTGCAAATCGTTTCGGATGAAGAAGCTAAAAGTAGAGGGCGAGACTGCAGCGAGCAGGGACCCTCCTGCTGCCTGGGGCGGTTTCTGCACCAACTGTTACCACCGGAGCAGCTCCCCGGGGCGGGCTGAGGGTCTGCTCCCATCCGGGAAGCCCCGCTCCAGTGGGGGCTCGGATCGCCCGAGCTCCCCGCCCCAGGCACCACAGGTCCAGCTGGAGGAGGGACTCCACCTTATCTCCGCAAAGCAGGCTCGACGGGTGGGAGGTTGTGACTGGGTCTTCTGATTAATAAACTGAGGGAAAAGAGCTATTCATGCTCAAAAGTCATTTCGGGAGAGCAGGAAAGAACAGCGCCGGCTGCGCTGCCTTCCTACAGCCCCTCTCCAGGCTGTTGGGTGGCACAGGGCAGCGGCAGTTGCATGAAGGTGTGATCATTAGGAAGCAGGACAAGCATCACTCCCAATTCACTGTTCAGTCAGGCTCCCCAGCTCCAAAGGGTTTGATTCTCATGGGCTTGAGTGGGCTGTGAACTGCCTCAGACAAATCTTCTCTGTACAAAAAAGGGGACTTGCAATTCCAGTGTGCTCAGCTTCATTTTCTTCTGTAATACTGAAAGCGTGGGTGCTCAACTGCAGGCATGTGACCCCATGATTCCTGCTCAGCCTCCTCTATGCCACAGAATTTCCCCACGCCCCAAACCCTGCAGAGACAAGGCCGGGCAGCACCTTCAGCCGAACCAGACGAGAACATTTCCCAGGCCACGTCTGCCCAAAGACCAGCCTGCCCAGAGCAGACCTAGTGCAGCTCAATACGGACGCTTGCTCTTGGAGAAGCAGCCGCCCCTCCCAGACACATACACGTGTACCTAGAGCTGTGATTGCAGGAGTCCAAAGTGGTCCACTGTGCCCACGGCTGCTGCTAAAAGCACCACCTGGGTTTATTGCCCAGGCTGTCACCATCCCCACAGCATCAGGGATGCCCAAACTCACTCTGCTTCCGAGCAGGAACGGCTGTGCTGCAGCAAGCTTCATCTCGGCTCTGCCTCCCGTCCCCCTCGGGCACCACGCAGGGGGCTCTGACAGGATAATAAAGAGTCGCACAATATACTATAAAAAGGCAATTAGATAAACTGCTGGATTGGGACCAGCTCCTGTGACCTAGTTAATAGCTCTGTGTATTTCAGGAGGGTAGGGAAGGAAAAGGCATTGGTGTCAGTGCGTGATGCAGAGCAAGCGGGTTTTGGAGGGGACGAAGGGCTACAGCATGCAACATGGTGCTCAGAAATACCCTGAGAAAGCAGCCCTAGCAAAACACAGTGAACCTCCCTGCCTTGAGTCCCACCTTCTCCTCCTCGCCCACGTTTACAGCACTCATGTCAGTGTTTAAGTTGTAAAGTGGAAAGGCTGGATGCAGAATCACACAAGCTGCTGTTCGGCACTGAATACTGAGGCTGAATTAATTCACAGTGTGGTGTTCGAGACAAAGATGATTTTAGCCAGAATGACAGATACTTTACTGAAAGATAACTGTAACAGAGTGAAAGCCAAAAGCAAAGTCTTCAGGAGAAAGCCCTCAATGGATGTCTCTTCTTTATTTATTTTTTTTTACTGAACACAAAATGGCTGCCTAAATTATAGAGACATACACCAAAGACAGCAGATAAAGGGCTGGGAACGTCGTAATTTTAGATTAACAAGTCTTACAATAAGAAAATTCACCTGGAACTATGTAAAAACTAAATAAAGGCTTCTTGATTGAACTGTCCTATTTGCAAAATAGACAATTCCTGGTCTGCAATTTGGGCGACAGTTTGTGCATGAATTTCTGTGATTTTTATTTCCCAGAAGAAAAAAACCTGATAAACAATTATTACATACAAACTAAAAATTCATTTGCAGTTTGAGCACATGTTCTCAAAGACACTTCAATAAGGTGGAATTAATTTTAACTCATAGTTTGTCCTTATTGTTGACATAAAAATTGAGAGATAGCCATTGGTCACTTGCCATGCCAGATTCCCAGCGAATTACGTGAGTCGTATTGTTCCCACAAGCTTAACAGCATTTACATTTTATATACAAAGCTTCATCACTGTCAAATTAAATATTCATATATGTACAGGCTCTTGTATTTCATAAGAAATTATTATGGACTAGGCAAGTGGGTACTTTGTAGATGCTGATATTTTTAACTGCATCTCCTTGCGTTTTACCCTCAGTTACATGGCCTCCCAGCAAGGCTGGTTCTGCCCGAGGCCAGGTCCCTGGCTGCTGCACAAGCCACTGTCTCGAGAACTACCAGTGGGCATGCAGAGGGCTCTCAAACACAGTATGAGGTGAGGTTTTCTGTGTCACCCTCTTCAGCAGCTGACTCAGTAGCACTGGAAGCGTTGCTTCCAGGAGCTGAGCTGTGTTTCCCTCTGGATCAAGCAATGTCATACCTTGCTTTGCTCGTTGGCTTTCCTTATGCCACAGCAATCCCTTCCTGCGGTGTTTCTCAGCTCAGGTTTTGACGATGTCCTTTATGTGGCTTTTATTTTTGGCCTCTGACAACAACAACAAAACAATAAACCAAAACAAACAAAAACCCAAACCAACCAAACCAATAAAACAAAAAAGAAAAGTCCCAAATGAATTGATGCTGCCGGCACATCGAGACTGCACATCTGATTCCTGCCTCTGTGTGTGAGGCTCCGCACAGTGATATGGGGGCCAGGTAGCACAAGTTCCTGGCTTAGGCATACCTGATTTTCTCACCCCAAAACACTGAGCAAGGTCCTGTTACAGGAAGACACATACAAGCCTGTGCCTGCTGCCCTCCCCTGTTAGTCTTGGCTGAATTGCCCAGGATATCGCAAAGCAGGGGCCAAGTTTTCCCAGTATGCTGGTATTGGCTTTTGGATGGGGCTGGGAGATGTTTGCAAGAGGTGTGATTATCTGTCTGTGGTTTTGACCTGCTTCTATTGCAAATGGACATAAATGGAGAAGGAAAATGGACAGACGGGGGATGGAGCTGTCAGAGACTGAGTCCGACTAGCATGAAATACGGCGAAGGCAAAGCTAGCTGCTGGTGCTGCCCCTCTGCTCTGAGTGGTCCCCCCAGCCTGAATGATTAAATGAAAGCAAGAAAAAAGGATATTGTTTGTGGTTTTCTTTTAAAGATAGAGAAACCATAATGGAAAAAAAGAAAAAAAGAAAAAGCCATAAGAAACCTCTACAGTACTGGGGCTTCATCTGACAGCAGGCCACTTAGGGAGCGGAGATACAAATGAGCTCTTAGGCAGAAGCTCTTCCCTGTGAGGGTGCTGAGGCGCTGGCACAGGGTGCCCAGAGAAGCTGTGGCTGCCCCATCCCTGGCAGTGCTCAAGGCCAGGTTGGACACAGGGGCTTGGAGCAAGCTGCTCCAGTGGAAGGGGTCCCTGCCCGTGGCAGGGGTTGGAACTGGATGAGCTTTAAGGTTCCTTCAACACAAACTGTTTCATGCTTCTATGTCCCTTTTTTGTTGCATTGACCCTACTTTAGTCTTAAAAACCTATTGCAGTAACCAACCCACCAAAGTGGTCACAAAGTACGCTGGAGTACTTTCTGTGCACTAATGCAGCATTTCTGCTTGCTCTCTCCATCCTTGCTAGCCAGCTCAGGGCAACTGCTGGAGGTTCAACGACGTTCATGGCAGCAGTGAGGCCCCTGCCGCTCTCTGCTGAGTTCTCCAAATGCATACCAGAATATAAGTTTCACAAGGGAGTGTTAAGCATACTCAAAGCCTTTAAACTTTGAGAAGATAGGAGCCTGTAAACTCAAAGTATTACTATTAAACGGACACTTCTCATAATCAACCTTTTGGCATCATGACACTATTTTCTTTTAATAGAAAAACACTTCTTAAGCAATTTAGTTAATTGATTTGCAACAAAAGGAATTTGGAGAGTGCAAAACCTCAGGAAAAGAACAGCAGGGAAGGTAGCTCTGTGATTATCTTCCCCTGTACACATGTAAACTGTGGCTGAGAAAAATTAATAATGAGACTTAAATTTGCTACCTCTCCCTAAAGCATGTCAGAAAACTGAGTGAAAGAGGTCTGAAAGCCTGGGAGAGGAGAGGGCTGGGTTGTCTGAGAGCAGGACTGTGGTTCAGGAGCTCTGTTCTGGTACTAAACCACCTAATTTTAGGATTAACTTATTAGTGAAACATGTTTTGGTGA